CGTGTTTTGTCATTCCTATTTTTTTTTCTATCCAGGATTCCTATTTCTTTCCTACTTTAATTATTTCCTGCTTTTCTCATGGCTGGCTGACGATTCCCTTTACTACGATAGCCTGCAGGCCGCTTTCATTCCCTGTATGTCGGGGGCATGAAATGAAAACACAACGAGTGCTGGCAGCTGCGCAAGCGTGAAAGAAAACACTTGCAGCCATCGGTCTTTGCCACGATTATCAATCCAAGTGAACGAACACTGGCCAGTGAGAATCAAGTGAACGAGCTTTTCAGTTCTTGCATGTACGAGCACCGAGGCAGGAGACTGTGGCCATGGGCTGCGGCTGCAGCGGCAGCGGTTCAGACCTGAGCCACAACGTGCAGCTCATGCACTCCGCACAATCCGCACACTCCACATAAGATCCATCGGCCTTCTCCGTACAGAATTTGATGCCTCAGGCCAGAGTTCTCTTATGCGTTTGCAAGGTTTCATGCAAACCATTTCGCGTGCGCACACAGACGCACAATGAACAATGAAGCACACGGTAATGCCAGGATAGGCCAGGATAATCCGCCGGGATATACAGAAGGTCATGTTCCAGGGACAGGAGGCATCCAACTGTGAGCATGTATGCGAGACCTTCATGCTTACAAGCAAGCGGGAAGTATCAGTAGTAGCCACACTGCGCACATGACAAACTTGACACTGGCAAATATATTCACGCTGTAACGACCAGAAAATACTAGAAAGCTCCTCGATTAAATCATTAGAGATGACTGGAAGTTGTTTGATCCTGATGCATCGGTCGGAGTTGTTGATCAAATGTAAGAGGAAAGGCAAGAGCTGTTGGTGCCTTGTAGTCCTCCCTAACCCTCGCATGAGCTTCGAGCGCGAGTGCCAAACAAGAAGAAAGGCATGAGGATCAATTTCCTCCCGAGGCCTAGCTATCGATTTCGCTCGACTTACCAAGTTTCCTGGCTCTCCGAGGCAGCCATGACCCTGACAGGCGAGGCTTTGAGATTGTTCTACAGCAGAGTTGCAACGAAAGACGGCAAAACTCCGGCATTTGCGGGTAAGGGCATGTTCGCATGCTTCTACAGTCTGGGCATGTGCCTCGTACGCCGCAAGCATTTTGTGACCGCAGGTCGGAAAGCAACCACGTGTGAGGAGAGTGCGAGACCACTCCTGGCATGGACCTAATCAACATGAGTGTGGCTCACCTTTGTTAAGGCTTGGGTCTACTTGTCTTGCAGTGATGGCCGCCTGAATTTTCGCAAGATTGACGGCCCAAATTCAAATGCCCAAGATTCGCTAATTCGGGTCCGGCTGCCATGGCCTATCCCAGCAGTCCGGCAGACAGCCCAAATGACATACGCTTTGAGCAGTACAAAGATGAGCGCGACATGCCTGGAATCGTTAGTTTGATCGACAAGGACTTGTCAGAGCCCTATTCCGTCTTCACATACCGCTACTTCATCAACAACTGGCCAGACCTCTGCTACATGACCATGCAGGGGGACCGGTGCGTGGGTGCCATTATCTGCAAGCTCGACACGCACCGCTGCAGGAGGACCCATCGAGGCAGCGCGGCTTTCGATGAAAGTGTTGTACTGTCCAGGTTCGAGCCGGGTCTTGGTGGCCGGATGAAATCGGAGAGAGTGGACTGTGGTGCGGGTAAGGGGAAACTCAGCGTGGTCACTCACCGATCTCACACCAACTCCAGACCGGACCGGTAGACTCAGAAAGCGAAGCTAAGGAGGGTCTTTCAAGATCTTGTCACAGCCAGTTGCCAGTTCAAAGGCCAGCATTTGCTTGATCATGCGTGCAGTGTGAGATTGGGAGGGGTGGAGACGTACCAGCGGTTGGAGGGCAGTCCACAAAGCTGTACAACAGGGGAGGCAGGGGGAGGCTCCTGGACCCATCTGTTGTCTTCCTCCTATAGCGGCAAACGGGCAAGCGTGGCGCCGGGATGCAGCGGGGCTAACATTTAGGCGAGTACCTTATCAATCCGATGACACGCAAGCCGCAAGCCATGTCACCGAAGAAGAGTCGATGGCATGCAGAGATATCACAGCAGTAACGCAGCATAGATGCAAAGGCTACATCGCAATGCTCGCGGTGGAGAAGGAGTTGCGGGGCCAGCGGATCGGCTCCAAACTGGTCAAGCTGTGCTTAGATCGAATGCGGTCGTCCGGCTGCATCCATTTTCGTGTTGGGTGGGTGGACGTTCCTTTCTTGTTTAGTTGGCCTACTGTACAGTGCAACGTGAGATTGACCTTCTTCTTGCTGGATCTCCATCACTTGACGACCAATTTCTACTTGACTTGTTCATGGTTCCTGTAGGCAGCTGGGCGCAGACGAATGCGTCTTGGAGACCGCGCCGTGGCATTGTTTCAGGTATGTCAAGGCTTCAGGTCAGCTGACCGACTTGCCCTTGCTTTTCGTATCAGATCCAATTGATCCATTTGGCAGGAAGTGACCAACCTGGGTGCACTAGGCTTATACCGAAGCTTGGCTGCCATTGATGCTGCTCGGGACGGGTTGCTTCGCTTCCTGTTCCTGGAAGACCGTACGGACTTGCCCTTAAGGTCCTTCTGTGAAGCGATATTTCTCTCCAATCTCGCTGTCTTTGTGTCCCTCTCTCTCTTTAAAAGGCCGTCTCACGCTCCTGCTGGCAAACGCCTTGCTTTGCATCTTCAAGCATCATGATCTATAACCCCGACTACCTAAGTTTGCATCAATCGCCTTTTTGTTGTTGATGGCCTCACTTGCTGTGTCAGTTGCAAATAGGGCATAGGGGGAGGCCCTGCGCTGAACTCAGGCCGTCTTGCCCGGCCGAGGCTGCAACCCTAAACACAGTCCGCACGCATTTTGCAAAAAAGTGTCCTAACTGGACAGCCGTCTGTCCGGTAAGCTTTTTCCTCACCCTCTCCACCCTCTCCGGATCAATATCACAAGTTTTTCTAGGGTTGACCCCCGGGAGTGTGTCTGATCGGGTGATGTTACCACCATTGAAAGCATGCTCGAGGTCCCGAGGGAACTGTGGTGCGCAAGAGCGGAAGGAGGGAGGGGGGGGTCATGCGTTGTTTGTTTTTTCCGAAGGAAAAACAGCCATGTTGGCGTCAGTACGGAGAGCTCCCGTCAATGGGGATGTGTTGGAGACAGGGAGGGAGTAATGTGACTGCTGCCCGACCGTTCTCCGTGCCTTGCTTTTGCCACCAGTCAGAAAGATTAGCTGATCGATCAAGCCGAATGACAACGGAGACAGAGTCGCGGTGCTGAGCTTGAACTCTCCGCGGGCATAGGCACGGAAGCGAAATCTTCCGTCTGAGGTGTGCCAACTCCCCCATTCCCCGCTGTTTCAATCAAGCTGCTTATTAGCCTCCAAAACTGTACTGTTGGGATGCAAATTTCTCGTATCTGCATTTGTTGCCAACTGCCGCATCGCCCGCAGCTTTGCAAAATGACACTGCAACCCGACTGGCACAGGGTAAACAAGGTGGGTCTAGGGAGGTGCAGGGAGCCCTGGGCTCACTCGCCACGAAAGAAAGGCAAAGAAACCGAAGGAGGACAGAGACAGAGCGTCAAGAGCTGGATGTGGTCGCTTGTGGAGGCTATGCATGGCTATGCCAGTGACAGCAACGCAGATTCCGGGTAGCTCAAAACATGGGCTGTTGTGGGGTGAGCAACTTCCCCTCCATGCCCTCCGAAAGACGGAACAAGGCACAAGTCATCGAATGAGCGCAGTGGAAGGAGTTGCCGCCCGTCCTCCTTCCCAGCCTTGAAAAAGCAGACAGGACAGCGAACTAACTTGTTCCTTGTCTCTCCAGCCCAACAGAAAGAGGAGAAAGGGCCCTTGAGATGAAGAAGAAGTATTGGTGCATGAAGCTCCTACTAGCAGCGCTCGTGCGCCGGGGGAGAGCAGGCCAGCCAGGACAGAGACAGACAGACGTCACTTGGAGACAGCACAGCATTCGCTGAGGGAACATGCGGAGCACTTGCTACGGTGCTACATCAAAGATTACCAGGTCCGGCAGCCTCTTCTCATTTAGTATGTGTGATTCGCCGACTACTAGTGCCTGTGAGCTGCCCCGGAGTCGTGTGTAAGTTCGTTGCGACTAGGTTGTGACTGACTAGACCTAAATGACAGAAAACAGGGGAAGGTATCAGGACTAATTTCCTGAAATCTAGAGCTTGCCGGGAAGTGCACGGGAAACAGAATGACTTTGGGTGGGAGGCCGAGCTCCCCAACGATTTAGGTAGCTGATTCCGATGCCACGCTAAGCCTTATGCATCTCGCGGCAAGTATCATGAGCCTGTCTTGGCATTTTGGGCCCATGATGTCATCCTACTTCTGTGTCAAGAGTACCCGAAGACAACAGAATGGCGTCCGTGACGGATGTTCTTGCCCATGGTCGCTGTCGAAATCCACCAAGTTGTCGTTGATCCAGCAAATATGGCTTGCCAGCAGTCAGTGCAAGCAAGGAAGCATGGGCTTTGTCAAAGAGAAGCGCTTGCACAAGAGTCTTGGAGCAAGCAGGAGTGAGTAGTTTCTCTCTTGTAGCAAGAGATGCTTAATGTCAACTCTTGACTCATTACCCCCCCCCCCCCCACCCCCGTGATTAAAGGCATCCCACGCGGGCCTCGGACCTGGCTGAAACCATGCTTGAAAGGCGCTGGCCTCTTCCACCAG